TATATATATATATATATATATATATATACATATAATCTGAACACTCATCTGATCATGTTTTACTACAATACTTTTGTGGTTGTCATTTTGTATGTCTTGTTGCTCAGAAGAAGCCCTGGCTGCTGGGTGTCACCACTCAGTGAATATGTTGCATGAACCCTAATTAACCATTAAAGTCTGAGTCGTTATAAATAAAATGTTTCTTGGGGTCCAGACCTTCTCATCAAACCCCCATAGTTGCATCCATCCATGTTAAAGGCCTGAACCTGAATGTAAGAGACATTTTTAATATGGATATGCTGCAGTGGAGATACAATATATTATTGCTCTAATGTGACTTCTGCTTATTCTGTGGATAATGTGAAAATTTTAAATATATGCTGCTTAGTAACACAAATATATTGTACTTTTGGAACTTCAACTGTAAGTAGATGTTAAAATGTTCTTTAGGAGCTGGGATTATTATAATATTTTCTTACAAATTTCATCTATTTGGGGAAAATCATAAACTGGCTTTGAGATGAAAGAGGCATGTAACATGAAATCTTCTTCTTCTGCTCCCTCTCAGTGAACAGAGCATCTGCCAGGCCCGGGCCTCGGTTATGGTCTACGATGACACCAGCAAGAAGTGGGTTCCCATCAAGCCGGGGCAGCAGGGATTCAGCCGCATCAACATCTACCACAACACTGCCAGCAACACCTTCAGGGTGGTGGGGGTCAGACTGCAGGACCAGCAGGTAACATGATGAGGGCCACACCACACAGTCTGGGTTCATCCTGACCGTTTGCTTTAGAAGTGACTCACAAAAACACATCATGTAGATTTTTATAATGTAAAATTTAAAAAAGGTTAAGTTGACTTTTCTTTGTTTTGAAACTTTACATTTCTCCAAACAGAGCAGATCATCCTTGTGGACAGTTTGTAAAGACATTTAACTTTAATGGTTTGTCAGAAATAAAGCAACTATTGTACTTTTCTACACGTTGCACCGCCTTATAAGTCGCATCTATTATGCGTCACTGCTGACCGCCGGTGTTGTGCCAAAAATCCATTGGCTGCCAAATGGCGGCAGTGCACGGGAGGACTTTAACAAGAATTTACAAACCGGATTCCAAAAAAGTTGGGACAATAAACTAATTGTGACTAAAAACTGAATGCAATGATGTGGAGATGGCAAATGTCACTATTTTATTCGTAATATAACATAGATGACAGATCAAAAGTTTAATCTGAGTAAATGTAACATTTTAAAGGAAAAATATGTTGATTCAAAATTTCACAGTGTCAACAAATCCCAAAAAAGTTGGGGCACGTAGCAATAAGTGGCTGGAAAAAGGAAATTGAGCATATAACGAACAACTGGATGACCAATTAACACTAATTAGGTCAATTGACAACATGATTGGGTATAAAAAGAGCTTCTCAGAGTGTCAGTGTCTCTCAGAAGCCAAGATGGTAAGAGGATCACCAATTCCACCATTGTTGCGCAGAAAGATAGTGCAGCAATACCAGAATGGTGTTACCCAGCGTAAAATAGCAGACTTTTAAGTTATCATCATCAACCGTGCATAACATCATCAAAAGATTCAGAGAATCTGGAACAATCGCTGTGC